CGAGATGGCTATGGAAGACATTGATCCTAACCCTGAAACCCTTAATAACAAATCCAAGAATGCCACCAGAAATACTGCACTTTTTGCAAGAGATTGAAGACATTGATGGTCCTGATGACATCCCAGAGCGTCCATTACCAAAAATTTATCTTTTTTCTTTTTGAAATGAAATTCACAATCAATGGTGAATCAAAGGAGGGTTACTCAAAAAGGTCAGTGCTTTGAAGTTTCGTCTTTCTGTTCTGGGCACTAATCAGCCTCTCGCTCCCCATACTTTCAGCTTTAAAAATTAAAAAACAAGGGGTTGGTGCGATCAAAATGGGGAGGCAGGAGCGGTGAAGTAAGGCAGGCAAGAAAAGACTATAGGAGTAAACGAAGGCAAATAAAACCTGATTAAGGGTAGATAAGAGATCCAAATCCTAATCAGTGCCAGAATAGACACCATAAAGAAGAAAATCACAACCCAGTCTCTAAAATCTCATCTTTCTCAAGAATCCATCAGGAAATAAAAAATAAAAAAAACTCCCATTTGGGCTGGCTGCTTCCCCAGGGCCAAATTTCCCCCTCAATCCATTGTCTTAAGGGATGTTCTTGGGAGTGAGTGTTGTAACTTTTGAAGAAGGGCGATGTATTGAAAATTAAGGAATAATAGTCTTTCAAATATTTGTTTGGATTGTAGGTGGAAAGAAAGAGAAAATTGAAGGACATAGCTAGCGGCAAGGATGAGAGAGAAAGCATTTAGTGCATTGAACTGCTGGTTTCTTCTCACAACGAGCAACGGGTTGGTGAATGCAATAAATGAGAAATTTATTGCGAAAATGATCTTTTTTTTCGTTTCTGGATTTGTGCACACATGTCCACATTTTCAGTTTCCGCCCTCTCCCCTATCCGCATTTCCTCTTCTCGTGTGCAAAAGTTTTATTTTACCCACCTTCTCTCCAAACTTGAAAAAGAGTAAATTTATTGGCACGGGGAGCTCAACGATAAAACAGTTAGAAAGTGGGACAAGGATCAAGATCAAAATTTTACATCCTTCCAAATTTTATGTTGGGTCGGAGTGTGAGAGGTTTAGGGTTGGAGATTCAAACTTTTTGGACAATTGAAAATGAGCAAATGCTGGTGGACGTAGCTTAACTAGTAGATAGAGAGTGTCACAAAGAGTGAGTCTCAGGTTTGAATCTCGTCAATTATGACGAGAGATTACTATGTAAAAATGCATAATGTCCCTGGAAAAGTATAATGTCTACCACCATTGTGATAGACATTCTCCCAAATGTTATGTCGGGTCATGGTATGGGGCTTGGGTTTGGGGATTAAAATTTGTTGGACTATTAAAAAAGAGCAAATGCCGTTGGGACATTGGGTGTAACTCAACTAGTAGGCAAGGGGTGTCACAAGGGTGAATCTCGGGTTTGAATCATGTCAACTGCTATGAAGGGTTACTATGTAAAATGCATAAGGTCTCTGTAAGTACATGGCCAGAGCCACACTCGTTATCTACTAGTTTGCGATTAAAGTCCAATTCACATTCTTACGGTGAACTATTCGATCGATGTTGGGGGCTCAAGAATAAAGTGTCATCCTTTAATCATTTTCTTTTACTTCGTCAATCTATATTTAATAATACTTGTATGTCTTTTTTTATCTAAGCACAAATGTAAATTTCATGGAATAGATTAATAGATTAGTCAATTATAAATAAGAATGACGAATATTGAGAATAAAGAGGAATATAGATCATTCACGTACTAGACTGTGCGACAATTAACTTTTAATCACAAAACTTAAAACTCAACTATTGAGATTCAAATGATGTTCATAACTAGTCATGGACCCGGGCCGGGCCGGTTCTAGTTCCGGGCTGGGCCCGGCCGGGCTTTTTTTGGGAAGGAAGGCCCGGGACCCCGGTTCGGTCATAATTTTTTTTTTTTGCTTTCCTAACCCCCCCACTCACCCCCCCCCCCCCCCCAAACCCCAAACCCCTCCTAACCATCAAGCCACCCCGGCTAACCCCAAAAAATGAAAAAAAAAAAACGAAAAGAAAATCAATTCGGCCCGGGCCCGGGCCGGTTCGCCAAATACAAGGCCCGAGCCCGGACCCCCCCCACCGGGCCTAGGCCCGACCCGGACCCGGACCCGAGAACTGGGCCGGTTCCGGGCCCGCACAGTGGCGGGCCGGGCCGGGCGGCCCGAACCGGGTCCATGACTATTCATAACTAATGTACTCCCTCCGTCCGGGAAAATTGTTCTCGGTTTCCTTTTTGGGTTGTCCCACAAAATTGTTCCACTTTTTATATTTGGAAAGTTTTTACACCCTAAAAACCCATTATACCCTCTTAAACATTTACCCCCCACCAACCTCGGTATACTTTTTCCTTCCTATCCTATGGCCTATCTCTCTCTCATCTTCCTCGTTACATCTTCCCCTCCACTGCATGTCTCACCTTACACTTTTTTGGCCATTTTCTCTCCTCTCCTTCCACTCTTGAGTTCATTGAACTCTAATTCCTTCCCTAATTTCAAATTCTGTCTAACCCTAGCTCTTCCACTTTATAACCGCCTGTCCTAATTCAAAATCCCTAAATCCGACAACCATGGAAGATCTACCTGCAACGAATGCATGCATGGACGATCTAATGGTTCCGGACAGTGAAGACGACTCAGAATACTACCCTGGTCAAGGCCCAAAGGAGGTTAAAGGTCCAGAGGACCTTGTGGTCCCGAAACAGCGTTTTCGAGGCCCAGGTTCCAAACGGAGGAGGTTCGGAAGAGCTTGTGGTTGTGGACAGTGAAGAGGAGTCAGAGGAGGAGGCGGGTAACGCTACGATGGAGCTTATAGTCCCAGACACTGAAGAGGGGTGGGAGATGACGGGCATGGAGATGGAGGAAAAGCTGGCAAAAATACGGAAGAAGGTGCGGGAGCACTACAGTCGCCATCCTGTGCTAGAGGAGTTCTTAAAACTGATCCTACCTAGTTGGGAATCAAGGATGTGGGACGTTGATACCTAACAGGGGAGTTTGTTTCTGTTTCTCTTTCTGAATCTGTCATTCAATTGCATTTGTTCAATGTATGGGTAGTAAATTGTTGTGGTAATGTTTTTCCGGGATATCTAGTTGTGTTTGATTCTGAGGCAACAATGATGATTTTAGGGTGTTCTTATGTACTGAAATGTCCTTCTTATGATGCATATATGGTCTGAGCATTGTTGTTATGTGGCTTGAATGAGTAAGGGTAATGTGAGGCTGGTATGGGTAATGTGGGTGATGATTTTAGGGTGTTCTTATGTACTGAACTTCATTGCTACTCATGTTTGTGTGCCTAAATTGTCTGACTAAGGGCTGTAATCACACTGCTATGATGCTAGTGTGATTATGTTGGTGTTGTGATGAACTGATGACCTATTGGTCTGAGCATTGGTTGGTTGCTGTGATGACCTATTGGTCTGAGCGTTGGTTGGTTGTTGTGATGACCTATTGATTTGAGCATTGGTTGGTTGTTGCGATGGCCTATTGGTCTGAGCATTGGTTGGTTGATGTGATGACCTAATGATCTGAGCATTGGTTGGTTGCTATGATGACCTATTGGTCTGAGCATTGGGTGGTTGTTGTGATGACTTCTAATGGTCTCAGCAATGTGGTTGCTGTGATGACTTCTTGGTCTGAGCATTGTTGTGTGTATAAGCCTGTTATGATGACCTTCTTGGTCTGAGCATTGTTGTGTGTATAAGCCTGCTATGATGACCTTCTTGGTCTGAGTATTGTTGACGTGCACTTTGTCGTGGTATGCACTCAAAATAAATATCAATACAACACTTATACGTAGTATTAGCGTAGTAAGGTTCGTATCTACAGGGAAAGGAATACTTCTCTTTTTAATTAAATAGTAACAAGGGGGGTTTAAGATGTGTTTGATTTTAATTAATTAAATACGAAGATGAACGGCTTATATGAGTTTAATTAATAGAGATGAGGACTTGGTTTTGTTTTTATCCACTTAATGAAATGTTCGTCGATCCCGGTTATATCTTTAATTATCTTCCTCTCGAATACTCAATCGAGGAGTATATCCAATTCATCGAGGGTAGTTATTAACAACGAGACACGTTCATTAATAAAACTTACTACCGAGCCAATATAGAACACGCGCCGTATATTAACCCCATAGTAGCAATAAACTTAAGATGAAAACGATTGAGATTGATGACCTCAACACAAGCGGTTTATTGGTTTAATCAATATAATTAATTCCTCTTAGATTATTAACCATGAGACGCATGCATTAATAATCCAAGTTTACTACCGTGAAATGACCGAACGATTAACAAACGTATTCGTCGATCGATTCTAGTATTAATTAATATATGAAACAAAACTAGTTGATTCTGTAAGTAATGCTCACAATATTAATATGAAATATGAATAGGAATTAATTAATATTCTGTAATACCCGAGATTAATATAAGAGGATTAATAGTACTACTCATACCAACAAGATGCATCTCCTTTTAAGGGAGCTCATTATCAAGATTTCCAAAGTTAAGCGTGCTTGCACGGGAGTAATCTTGGGATGGGTGACCCCCTGGGAAGTTTCTCAGGGCGCGCACGAGTGAGGACAAAGTGCGCGGAAAAGGCTAGTGGCGGTTTGTGAGGACAGTACTAGAGGTCTGGAGTAACTACCTCGGGTCCTACGGGGCCGGGGTGTTACAAGAGTTTATTCGGGCATGTGGAGTTGCTGTCCGGGTAGAGTGGTCTGCAGAGGAAACAGAGGCTATGGGGATTCGGGATGCTATTCAGAAGGCCTTATCAACGGGTTGGCAGAGGGTGGTGATTGAAAGTGATGCTCAAACGGTGGTGCAAGGCTTGAAGCATCGAATTGGAAGATCATATTTACAACTTTTAATAGATGATATTTTTTCCTTCTTGAGTCAAAGAGTACTTTTAATGTCTCTTTTTGTAAAAGATCTGCAAAACCATGTAACTCACAAGTTAGCTAGGACTCATGTAAATTCACCAGATCAGTATGGGGAGTATAAATCTATTCGTATTACTAGAAGCCATTTGGCTAACGATATGTTACATTAATAATATGGAGATTTGACGATCAAAAAAAATATTTCATCCGTGTAAAGTAAACAGCATCGGATACATTGGGGCTTCTTGTTGATCTTAATTCCAATGGTAGAAGATGGAGTCCACTTTTTCCACAAATTTCGAGGCTTAAGTTTTAATCCCTGCCCTCCACGAGGACATGGCACTCTGCAAGATGATCTCAATCCATATTTCGCTGGTTCGGCCAATTAAGTATTACCAAAGATTTTACTTTTGGACATGGTCAACCCATTCCATGCTATAACTTACGAAAAAACAAAACATTTTGCAGGTTAACCGAGTCCAGGTAACCAAGCGACCTAGTAGGTGTAAAATTAGATAGATTATTAGTAATAAGATGATATAAAAAAAACTTATTTTATGGTAGATTCAACATGCAAGGCCCCTGTAGTGGTCAAAGATATTTTGAAAAGCATAGTAATGTGCCATCATCTCTACAAATCTGAAAAAGGTGTAGACCGTTTTGATACAGTGACCTCTCCTTCAACTTGGCTGACCAAAGTGACCATTCAAGAGTTGTCGGGATCGTCCCCAATCCAGATCTTGAAAGACTTCATTAGACAACACTAAATGCGGATTGAATGGTTGATGATACCCGGGAGGCAAGGGTTTGAGTTGCAAATGCTTGAAGCTGCTTCTTCGCATCTGGAAAAGGGATCGATCAAAAAGTTTGTTAGACAGCTCAATTGATCTTTTATGCTTTACAAGAGAGAAAAGTTTTCAAGTACTTCACTTCAGTTAGGTAAATAATGCAGATGCCATGGTAACGATATTGCATATGTCTATACGACCAAACTACACAAAGAAAAGTAAACGTGCATGATGCAAGACAACCCCTTTTTATCCCCGGGAATTGCTTTGTTGGACAGTCAGACCCATCGAAACCATGTACTTCTAATTGGACCGATTGGGCAAAATTATGCTGGATTCGGCCCCTTTTCACATATGCCCCCCTTTCTATTATTCCTTACATAGATTGTTTCTTGCCTCTATGTTTGGGTGGAACATATTTAAGGCAAGGTTAAAAAATGGGAAGGACGTGTAAAAAAATGGCAGAGAAGACAAAGAGACGAGGAGGGGTCAACGAGAATTATTTTTCTGTTTTGCTCAATTGGTCCAGTTAGAAGTTGAGATGCTCAATGGGACTTATATTATAAACCACAAGTCCACAACTGTAGCCAAGCTCTATATCAGATGCTCATAAGTCATAACCATAGCACCTTGCTGTTCCCAACCATAGCAGCAGCAGTGTTGTACCAAATAGTCAACACACGTGAATAAATACTACTTTCACATGGGTGGAGAGAAAACCGATGATAACCATGTTGATTGTTCATGAAGTTATGACAACATAAGGAAATATATATTATTCCCTTGCAATGCCTTTAATGAAGAAGATAGTGCTTCAAAACATCACATGTGTCTGTCTGTGCGTATATGCATGCCGTATGCAGACATGCTAAGAGTATGTAGGTAGGTGATACAGAGTGTGAAGAGATTTCAAACCCACCTTTGCGGCATCTAGTAAAGCCAACAATATTTGCAATGCTGAGTGTCAAGCAAACTCCAATAACAAGGAGATAGTCAGCCTGGAACCTAATGAGTGAAAATATTGCGAGAAAGATCCAAGCAACAGCCTAATAACACCAAACAATGTCAGATGAGGTACTAGGTACAATAAACATACTAACAGAGTACTTGTTTCTCCTCTTATAAGGAGTCAACTTTAGATACTGATGATCAATTATCCATTTCGAAGTTCGAACAACATGAAGCAATGATGAAAAATCTCAAAGCTGATTTTGAGCGATAAACTGAAATGTTGGGAGTTATTCCTAATGAATTTGGAAAAAGGTGCACCAGAAATAAGACAGACCTTCAGCCTTCTCAGATTTCAGTGGACGTAAATATATAATCCATGTCCCTTACAAGTTGAGCATAAAAGCTGGTCTACATAATACCTAAAGCCATCGTTTGATAAAATCATTTTTTGATCATTGGTGTTTCAAAAGATTCTTTAAAGTAATGGCGTTTTTATATGGTTCAAAATCATAGTTTTATCATATCCTATCATAACTCTGGAACTTTTAGGCATCTAAAGCTCCAATTAAATGTTTGAAACACTAAAATAATGCCTAAATTGCAACATTCAAAATCACCTCTCTCAGATCAGTGCGTTTTACAGAAATTTAAGACTTATTTATATGGTTCAAAATCATAGTTTGATTTTATCTTATCAGAACTCTGGAACTTTTAAGGCATCTAAAGCTTCGGTTAGATGTTTGAAACACTACAAATAATGCCTAAATCGCAACATTCAAAATCATCTCTCCCTCAGATCAGTGTTTCAAAGAAATTTAGGACAGTCTTGATTTAGAACCAAACCCAGAACATCAATGAACGTTTTATGTTTGAAGACACTGATAACCATATTATGACATGACATGATGGTAAATAAAGTATTGAACATTATACATTGTTTACTTACTGTAAGATATAGTGTCCACCAGAAAAGCCAAGAATCCTTCTTATTCATGCGAGCCAATGACTGCACATGAAATAATAGAACAAATAATACACAAGTTGAATGGTGTAGCAAAACATAATCTGCCAAACAAACAGTAACAGAAAATAGAATTTAGATAACATAAGTTATCACTTGATAAAAGAGGCATGAAGCAATTTTCAAGCCATTGCTGCTCACCTCTTGGTCAAGGCATTCGAATTTCCACACACTTTCACCCTCGTCATTTATTTCATTCCACCATCTCAGCCCCACTAAGATACGTCCACTCACATTCTTAACGACCCAAAAATCAAGAGCTGCTAGCAGAACAGTGACCACGAATATGATAACAAAGCTATCAACAAACACAGCTGAAAGTATGTAAAACGCCAATGCTGCAGCCTGGAAAGGGATCAGGGGAAGAAATAGTGAGCAGTGAAATATCAATTTGGTCCATAGAATATAGAGTCAGATGCACTTGACCTTGAAGAACACATGGAAGAAACATATCTTTGGGTGTGCGTAGTTCTCCCCTGCAGGCTGAGTATATAAGGTAAGAAGACTGTAGTAAGGGTTGATAACATACTAGTTCATTGCAGAGTCCATACACTTTCAAGAAAGAATAAAAAAGATGGAAAACAGACACGATGCAGCTTGCAAAAGTTGCACTGGAGACATTACTACAACTTCACACACAAAAACTAGTAAACATTGATAAAGAACAAAGGGAATCCAAAGATCCACATTTAAATTTTATATTAGATATCAATTCATTAAAACTATGTTCCCTTCCTCTTAATCCTACCAAAATAACTATTTCAGAGTACAATGACTGAGCAACAAATCAAGAAAAGGCTGTAGTAGTAGTAACTGTCTCCTTCACTGAGGTGATAAGTAAATAAATCCCTGCCCCATCAAATTTTTATTGCAAACTTGCAATAGTTTGTTCATCTATCTTATAATAGCACCAATGTGACCATCTTCGTTTATGCCTTGATTTAAAAAGCGTCTTATGAACCAAATTTAAACAAGTCTGAACTTGGGATGTTCTGATCTAATAAAGATAGACCAATGCTTGTTTTCTTTTACTATTTTCCCGCTCAAAAAAATCTGACCTTGCACTAGTAATGACATAGCTACCCAGATAAAAAATATTCAGGCTTGAATCATTTGATGCAAAAGTTCATTGTGCTTAAAGGCTAATTTGCAAATTATCAGCACGATGCTGATATGATAAATCTGCCTTTTCAGAATGGTGCTGAAATGATAAATCTGCCATTCTGAATGCAGTTTATTGTCCAACACCAAGATGAAAATCTTGTAATATGTTGACCTCCAAAACTAGTCTGAGTTGCCTTCTTTCTAACTATGTCCATATCCATCTTAATTATGCAAATCTTAATTATCATCGTCCACAGTGCTCTCTCACGAGCAAGCGTGGACATATATGTGTCTTATTCTCACAAATTTATCAATTTATGAGAACACCTGAAACTCGTCTTAGTCTTGGCATCTTCTAAACTATTGTCTGAGAAAGTTATAATGACTTGTTTGGTAAGTGGAACTGGATGGGCCAATTAGTAATAGTCACTGATAAGTAATAACAATCTCACATAAATCCTATGCTCCATGATAGGTATCTATCTCCCTAACATTATCATCTTTTCAAGTGTGCTTGCAAAAAAACACCTTATTCATTTTCAAACTATGCTTATTTAATTTTTTTTAACATCAAGCATTCCTGATATCATATTCCTAACTAGTCACTTCAAGTAGCTCGACGGATTTACCCAAGGTAGGTGTCAAACAACACCATACATCATCTGTGTTACTGTCCTAAGTATAAAGTCAATGCATATGTCAGCGATGTTATAAAATCCGAATCAGGCCAGCAGATAGGTTTTTTTCTTCATCATAAATCATCCACACCAGGTTAACCTATAAATTTAAAGCCTATTGCATTTTTACGAACTTTAATAAGATCATCAACAGATCTATCTGGGAATATTGAAAGTATACGAAACAAGTCATTGGACGATAGTCATTTCAGAAAAAATCAATAGTGTATTCAGCTAAGAAGAATATCAACGATCGCTGAAAAACAAAGATCTTACAGGATTCAGATCCATTTTTGAAGAATTCAAGTGCAGGGATTATTAGAATCGCCTCAGCGGTGTGATCTGATTTCCCGCGCGGGTTCTAACCAGGACTACTATGAGTCAGCGATTTCTTCCTTCCTTTCTTCTTTTTGGTGCCAAGACCTGAATGAAGCAGCTAATTTCCCTGTTTTCGTTTTCGTGTCCTTGCCCGACTGGCACGGGTAGGGGCCGCACGGGTAATTTACTAATCAAGTGAGATCAATTGCAGAAAACACAAGTTCTGGAA